CTGAATCACCCAGTGAGCGAGAAAATAATTTTTAAAGATAGTATTTATCGATATGAGTGCAAAAAAATTGAGCAGTTCGAAAAATTGTTTCCTCTGATAGCAATGGACCAAGGGAATTTTGTTGATTCATCCTGTATAAATAATAATTTGCTGGCCAACTCCAGACAGATAGACAAAATCGGTCAATTTGAACTCACTAGCATCATTCATGTCTAAATTATATTCAATATTATTTGCAGTTTTATTTATTCGTTGGATGGCAGGTGAACAAATCATTATAGATATTTGTTGGGAAAGTATACAATTTCCAGTTAAACTATTCCAAATAGCATCTAATTTTCCTGTATATATCTTTGAACTGTTGAACCGTTTCGCGGTTGGATTATTGCAACCCCCTGTGATCTTACGTTTCCAATGAGATAAACAATTCAAGATGAACCTGCCTGAATTTGTACATTGAAAAATAGTTTAATAAAGTAGTATATATGAGGTCTTTGTATACAATTATAATACGCTGTATACCTATCAAAAATCCGAGAAAACCGGTTTTCCTACCTGACCTGATAAATTCATTATTATGAAATTTCAGAGATCTTAGTTTGCAAGTGATATCCTTTAAGAAATTAAATATATAATCCTTATTATCTTTATCAAAAGGGTTTCTGAAACCAGTTTGTTTTACGTTTCTAGGATTGAACACATCAAACAAATGATTTGTCATCACTATGGAGTTGTGGTTGAATTTATATTTTGAAAATCCTCAAATTTAAATCCATTTGAGCAACATGTTTACTATAGTCTACTTCAAGAATAATGTAGAACGAATTCTCAGAACACTAATTTTTGAAACCTCGAATTACATAGGCGTGCACTGTTACAGATGCTACGTTTTATAATAATAATAATAATAAATCGCCTTTATTCATCTTTGAACACATATGTAAAGAGATAACAGTAATAGGTATTCGACAAAGATAAAGAGGCGAAGTGTCACCCGTGGGTGTTTTTCAACTTAACCATGGAAATACAATAATAATTTACAATTTTCTTAATTATCTTAGTAGCTATAATATCTACGATGTGTATGATGAATGATTTTGTATTTTTTTGGTTGCGACCTTTGTCGCTATTCATAGAATGACAACGATACTATTTCGAATGGTTCTTTGTTTGATCTTATACGTAGTAACTCCAGATAGAAAGCAGGTAAATATTAGAAGATGTGAGGGATAGCCATCAACATATGAATACATAAACAATGTGACACAAATTTGGGTGGGTATTAGGTATCAAACAGGTATAATGGTAGGTAAAACACATATAAAAACACTAACATACTGTAGTTTTTAGTTTTAGTAATCTCCTGATTATGCTTCCGTAGTTAGCGAAACGCGAGTCGGGAGACCGTATTTTGGTTCCGGTGTGGAGCATTTTTCGCTTTCTACTTCAAGGTGCATCATTTATCACCAGAAAATTTCTTCTTGACAATTTAGGAATAAACTTTACCTGTAGCCATTTTCGATAATTCAAATAAATACTCTCACTGTGATAATCACCATTTTCCCTGCCAGCATCAACAATAATAAACATTTTCGCTTCAGTATCAAGATCTTTTTCATGAGAATGTGTTAAATGGATATGTTCCATCCAATTGATTGCTCGATTTTCCCTTAAAAAATGTGCGTTTTCTGTTAGAGATCATGTTTCTCTATTAAAAAAATTTTTCTATGAAAACCCTATTTCATGCATAACTTCTCATAAAATCTGTGACAATATGAAATGTAGGAGCGTTGGTTTAGCTACCAAAACAAAGTATATGTTGCAGACATTCAACATGGATTTATAAATCAGAAATCGACAATCACAGCACTCTACTCCTACTATCATAAACTAGTGGATCACATTGAGGCAGGCGAATGCCTCTTTGGAATTTTTTGTGATCTCAGCAAAACGTTTGACTATGTAAATCACACAATTCTTTTGGATAAAATATTCCACTATGGTGTGAGGAAAACACCTCTGGATTGGATACGGTCATACCTTTGTGACATATGGTAGTATGTCTCAATTGATAACGAGTCATCTGGGTAGTTGAAAAACAAACTGGGTGTCCCACAAGGGTCAGTACTTGACCCTTTGCTATTCATAATTCAAATCAACGACATTCATAAGTTTCCTGTGCCAGCATCCCTCACTATGTACGGGGATGACACCTCACTTATAATTTCCAAAAAGTGAGAAAGTTCTATGATGGAGAATTGTGATGAAACTTGTAGTTGATAATTGCTTCTTGTCAAATCTTTTTCTAAATGTTAATGAAACAACAACTTCATCGACTTGTGTTTTTATAGCACAAAAACGTATTATTCCTTAAGAAAACTCAGAATAACTCAAAGTGCTCCAAATTTCAGGGCTCCAAAACTATTTAATTCGATTCCAGAAAACATAAAAAATAGCAGTTCAATATTCATTTTCAAACGGAAACTATAAGATTTTCTAGTGCTAAATGGCTTTTACTTCTTAGAACATATACAATTGTTTTTATATTTTCATAAGGTGTTTGCCATTCGTTTGCTGATGTATTTTGTAGTAAACCCTTCTTTTGACTTTTTCCACACAGCCTGTACTGCTCAAGGAAATAAAATCGTATTCTATTCTAGATGACTTACCTACTTTTGTTCTCATGTGTTGCAACACTGTTTCCTGGCAGCATTATCAAAAGGTGCGTATTCACCAAAAAAGCGAGCACGAGCGAACAAGAGTGAAGGATCATTCTACATCAATAATCTCTTGTTCGCTCGTGCTCGCTTTTTTGGTGTATACGCACCTTAAGGGGACACCCGCAAATCGCAAATTGTTCAAAACCTTGTAGAGCGCATATAAACAAATCGATTGAACTTGACGCTATCATCAACCAATATTCTGAAACCAACTATACCACCTTTTTGCGATATATTTTATATTAAATAAAAAAAAAGAAACGGTAGTCAGTTTTTCTTGACCTAAAAAACAGAAACAGCAGAAACCAAAACTAATATACGAGGTATTTTTTAATTCCAATTGCCTTAACGATAATTTACCATTATAGTCTTATCAACAAGTTCAAAAACATGAAAAATAGAGATAAAAGTCTTAAAGTTATGAGCGATAGCTCATTCGATTCGGAATAACCTCTAGAAAATTGTTTTTCAAATATTTTGGTGCAGTTAAAGAATTGCAATTGTTATTAACAAAATAAGATTTGAAAAATTGTATTTAGTTTTTCGTTAATAACTCAAAAAATAATAATATTTAAGCAATTTCGGAAAAAGCTCGTTAAAGAGGAGGAAATTTCCCATGGAAAAGTCCTGACTTCGAAACTCTTTCTCCATTATTTATAATTTTAATTTGACGTTGAAAATAGTGTTCCGCGCGGCTGTTACGGCATGCGCGCGCTGCCGCTAAAGAGAGTTTATAATTGAATAACTTTTTGAAAAATGGCGATAAAACTTTTTTTTCTACGGAACTCGATTCATTCAAGTGTTAAGAAGATACTAGAATTTTTTTAAATTTTTAAAATGACTCTTGATGTTATAAAAAAAAAATTCTTTTGACAAACTCTCTTTAGCGGCAGCGCGCGTGTGCCGTAACAGCAGCGCGGAACCCTATTTTCATAGTCAAATTAAAATGATAAATAATGGAGATAGAAATTCTGGAGTCGAGTTTTTTATCGGAAGTTTCCTGCTCTTTAACGACCTTTTTTCAAAATTGCTTGAATATCAATATTTTTTGAGTTATTGACGAAAAACTAAATACCATTTTTTAATCTTATTTTGTTAATCACAATTGCAATTCTTTACCTGCACCAAAATCCTCCAAAAACATTTTTCTAGAGGTGAATCGAATGAGCTATCGCTCATAGTTTTTGGACCTTTATCTCTATTTCTCATGTTTCTGAACTTGTTGATCAGACTATAACGAGGCTTGCTAAGTCTGAACAACCCCCTTCTAACGTTCTTTGGATGGTATGTGAAGTAGGCACTCTCTTGTTGGTTATTGTATCAATAATCATGTAATGTCAAAAAACACCTTCATGAAAGTCACATAAAACTGTTCTTGGATCGTCTTTTTCGGGAACTTGAAAATGATTCACATTCAGCCTTTTCTATTTAGTCTCATGTCACTGACAACTTCTCAAAAGATTTACGTTGGAGGATTGCACAGCTCGTTCTCAAACTTTGTTTGAACTTTTTATAGGCTAACTGTTCCTCTTGCTACATGAAATGTATAATATTTGCAATTCTCGCCTCTTACTTTAGTCACGAACTTCATACCGATGTGCACCTTGAAACTGCCCTTTCGCCTATGAATTAATAGAATATATTTTCCTTTCGAAACGATTTAATTACATTTTTCAAAGGCGTGTTGGTGCTACATGTCTGTGTACTTGGGCAGAATTATCATTTCAGCCCAAAACACGTTTTGAATTACTCATTGGGTATTCAGTTGATTGAGAGAAGAAATCTTATAGCATTTCCATCAATTCAAATATTGATACTTTTTCAGAATTATTTTCAAAAAACTGTGCAAGATTTACACTTTCTACTTCTTCTCATTGGAAGTTAGCATGGGATAGCTACATATATCAATTGAGTTCCAAAAACCAAGAATTCATCCTTCCTAAAAGTATTTTCTTTTCAGTAACTGCTAAATGGAAGTTTGGAAAAGTTGATTACATATAAAACCAGCGACTTTCGTTGGGATGAATAACAAATATTTGACTTCTTTGGATGAATATCATCTGGGTCTTTAGATTATATTATTACAATTTCCATAAGGATATTTTGTTGATAAAATACAGCCTAAACTATATACTCGCTGATAATATAGCTAATAAAGAATTTTTGGAATAGCACAAAAGTTTTTGGGTTTATTGATCACAAACAAATCTCTTATTTATATGATTCCTTTTCATTTTTTTCGAAAACTAGAAATAATTCCACTTGAAAAATTTTCACAACTTTTTATTTCTACTGACATTACAACTTGTACAAAAATTAATAATAGAATAATCATATTTCACATAGAGAAATATTGTAATCAATGTCAATCAAGTCTTCACAAAATATAACGAATGCTTCTACATCATAGCCGAAAAACAATTACTCAACAAATTACCATATTCATATTTCACTGGAGAACCTTGAAATCGGACATTTTTCTCAAATATCTATGACTCCATAACTTCTAACCCCACGCGCCAAGAATCACCCCAAAATATTTTGCAACGCGGGTCAGTAAGAAGGTGATAATGCACACCTTTACTCAGGGATGTACATAGCGCAGTTCCCAAGACGACTGTATCGTCTATGAGGTTCATATAAACCAAAAGGTATCATATAACAGTTTTATTGCAAAGTGGGCAACGGTTCTCAAGATCCAGCCAATTTCTCAGACAAATTCCATGGAAAATGTGCCCGCATTTAGTTACTTTGGCGGACAGCATCTTCTGGTAACAAATGGCACAGACATCATCCAATTCTCGCAACTGGTGACTAGAAGCTCCTGACAAACCATTTAATTTATAGACTAATGTCTGATGTTTTCTGAAGTCAGAGCAGATTTCTTTATATTTAAACCATACGTTGAAATAGACTTGGTGAAGTAGCCTGACAATTCCAATTACGCTGAACATTTCGAAAAAGAGAATGAAAGCTCTATTGAAAAATAAGAATATTCCTATACAAAGTTCAAGAATATTGTCGAAAGTAATCACATAATAAATATAGTCCTCAATGTGTTCCCAGAAATATTGCCTCTTCTCACTGAGTATCAAAAGAGTGTATAATGTTAAAGACACCCAAAATTTAATGATGGCGATGGAGCAGACCGCAGTTACATCTAAAAGGAATGTACCAATTTCTTGAGTTCTCCAGATGAAATATACGAACATGAAATCCAATAAAAGAACAATTCCGCTAACCGATAAGGGGCCTACGTGTTTCATGAGATTATCAGAACGACTCATTAATGAAGGATGAACCATCAGATGTATGGAACGATGGAGAGATGCATAGAGATAACATACATTTCTGAACAATATCATAATTCTCATCTCAGGTTTGGAAAATATTATTCCATACTGGAGGGCTAAAAAAAAGAATTTTGCAAATGCGATGAACATAATATCTCTGGTATGATCTCTGTTAGTTACTAAAATCCACTGTATAAATTTTGCAATGTACTTGCAGATGCAGGCAACTATGTGAGCCATTCCCAGAACAGCAATAAAGGATCCACATCCTGTGGTCATTACATATTTAAGAAATGTGAAGTACGCTGAATTTTCAGGTCTTTCATCCCATTGACCAGACAAGTAGAAAACTCCTATTTGCTCAAGTACCGTCAGTATCCAGAAAGTGTTCAATACATAAGAAATTTTCAACTTTCTCAACCATAACAATTGAGAATCTAACATTGTAATGCTGAGAAAATTCAATCCAAAATACCAAACTGCAGGAACAAGGTATACAAGACATTTCATCAGTGATAAATGTAAGAGAACCACCAAAATTGGAGCGCAATTCAGCAAAAATGCCGGTGTTGAAAAAGTTAATCCCAGTGGTATGAGAAAAGTCAACGAAAGTAGTTTTTTCATAACTGGGTTCTTTGGTGTGGAGTAAATGTTAATAAGAATTACCAGTAAAAGTGCTTGTAAAAAGTAGGTACGCTTAAGATTTACGATGTATACTTTAGGCGCAAATGGTTCTTCAAAATTCTGAGAAACTGTATCATTTAGAAGATACCCATTGACGCCACTTTCCTTATTCGATTCCGTCCATTGGGTTAGGATTAACATAACGGTTAAGGTGCAAGCAGCTATCAGATGGTGGATGCTGCGGTTGTATACAAATAATGCTAGGCAACCTGAAATGAAATGATACATTTGATTTATTTGTAGTTTCTTATAACATATAAATACAATAATTATTAATATTTATAAAACAACAAATGAGGCTAGAACCAACATGAACCGGTACAGTACGGTTGGTGTTAGCCTTAAGAAAAGAAAAGAGAGAGGGAAAACATGTTAATTGTTCATGCTGAAAATTTTACAGAAATATGTAGTCTATGAAATCAATGAATTTCTGATTGACCAACAATGAGATATTTTTTGTGACAGCATTCGAATAAGGAAAATTTACTAACTTATATTAGTATGAAATATTATACAAATTGTATAGGTATGTTATATAACCGTGTAAAACACGTATGTTTTTTATAGTTAATATGAACGAGTTTATATGAAATTCTATCATATTTTTTAATACCATACATATACCTTATTAAGACATGATCTTTGAACACTTTCAATTCTACTAATGTTATTTTACCCAAACATGAACCATACACATCACAATATGCAAAATGACTCAGAACAAGAGCATTTGTTAATGCTATTTTCAAACTTGTCGATAATAAATGACGATGACGTTTTCAAACTCATGTAACTTCTCTGTAGACATTTTTTGACATATTTTGTGAACCTTAAATTCACGTCCATTTCGATACCTACATTTTATGCCATGTTACTGTATCACCAATAACAATAATAATAATAAATCTTTTCACCAAGCTGCGATTAGTACCACTTTATTAGTATCACTCATGAGCTTCAGATGCTAAAATAAGACGAGCCAGATCTTCATTTAATTTCAGAGCAACGTTATTAGGGTAAATAAAGTTGTGTGTCATCCGCATCATATGTGAATTTCAATGTCTTAAAACATAAACTAGATCAGAAGTGTATACGCAAAATAATAAGGGCCCAAGTATCGATCCCTGAGGCACTCCAAGTTTAGTGAATTCACTGCTTGATTTTCCCTTCGAAGTTTCTACTAATGGCATCAAAAGCCTTGAAGTAGTCTATAAATATTGAATCAGTCGTGTTACCTCTGTCAGCAGCTTCGAAAATATCATCAGTTATTTTCAAGAGAAAAGTTAGCTGTGGTCTTTACGGAATCGTGACCGGTCGATTGGTAAAATAATGAAAGAAATTGAATAACATTAGATTTGAAAACTCATAATATTTTCAAATACCTTTGAACACGAAGATAATAAGCTAATGGGGCGAAGATTGTTGACAGTATTTGGATTTAGATATTTTAGGAAGAGCCAATAGCTTTCACATTTCAGGAAATATATTATGTTGTGAACATGAGTCCATAATATAAGTAAGACATGGTAATATTACAGGACATCAAAGAAGTAGCATATCTATATAATTTAAAAATCCAAGTTTGATATTTATATCGAATATGACTATGTACCTACTTATGTTGTTTTTTATCTGTTCAACAGATCTCATCATTTTTATACATTGAGGGCGAATGAAAATAATGGAATACGCTGATAAAAAATCAGTTTATATATACCTTCTTTTTTGCCGCGCATTTTTTAAAGGGCATAACACAAACACTACAGGAGAATCCCAAAGATGCTCTAAGAACGGTGCCTGTGCGAAAATAGCAATTCAGATTGGATTTGAACCGCTGGAGATTAAATCTATTGGTGAAAACGTCCACTCGAGCGCAATTCTCCAAATGAATGAGGTGTACTGAGTTGAAACTCAAAAAAATGAGCAGCAACAGTCCGTCGCATATTTCCGATATGTACCGCAATTGGTGGAATCAAATGTGCCAAGTCACTTTAACATCTCCCGTGAAAGTATCTATAGAAGAGAGACAAATCTCTAACCCTTCTTCGATGTTCCAGGCTATCAAGGTTGCAAGTCATGTATAGTTTTGTGGTTCGGAATAGTGTTCCAAGTATTTGAGAAGCGCCTTTTGCAATTCCAGCGACATGATTGTGCATAGACATATTGATATCCATTTTAAACCCCAACAAACTTATCGAAGTAGAAAGTGGAATTGTCTGACCTGACATCAATATATCCGGTTCGGAGACATTTGTCTTTTTAGAAAAAACTGATGCCTGGATTTTTGTGGCATTCAATTGCACCTGGTTACTTTCACGTCAATTCAAAAACAGTATGTTTCTATTTCTGCAATATATTACTGTGCTACAAAATTTCATACTTTTGTTTAACGTCAATGTAGTCTAATACTCAATACTATTCATTATTTTGATGAATTTCAGCCCTACTCGTGATAATGATCCTCAATTCATAATATGATCATCAAGTACCTGTTTTTGAATTCCTGGTAATAATTAATAGAACCAAATAATTATCAAGTTCCCATCATTCCAAAGACATATTATAATAAATAAATAGTGTTATCTAACTTATATCATCCAAATGCTTGTGCAGAAGACATTTTAAAAACACTTGAAAATTTTTTGGAGACTTCCAAACTTTTTCCACATAATTACACATTTATTTGTTAAAATCCTGTCTCCACGCGGATATCCGGTCCACCCCGGCCCCCAACCGGCGTGAATGGGGACAGGAGTAATAATATACATCCACTGTAACACTCCCACGTGGACATCCGGTCCACCCGGCCTCCAACCGGCGTGAATGGGAGTGCTGTTTCTCTATTACACTTATAAACTTTCACAAAATACTTTTAATTTATTGATGGCACGTTCTACGACGGCAGACATTCACAACACTAACTGATTTTCGTCCCTAACAATGGCGTCCGCGTGCCTTCTTTGTGGACGATCGCTGTCAGCACGTTCGTCAGAAACGAAACTGCGAGGACAAGTTGAAGTTGAAAATACATCGTTATCAAAACATTGAATTCGTAATCCTACTTTTTCAAATATCTAAGAAATATATTCAATTACCAGTACCGTCTGTCTTTATATTACGCAACCATTGAATCTGAAATTCATCACACAATTTAACCACATCACATGGCTTAATTTTTCATTCCGTCCTCAATGATAAACTTTCAGTATTAGGCAAATCAACAAATATTATATGGCACAATTTCGATATAACTCAACTTTCAAGATACCAGATAGGTCCAAAGTGAAGTAAAAATATTTTTGACGATAAAATGCTTTTCAGGACATTCAAGAAGTCTTATAAGTGTATGAAAAAATTATAAGGAAATATATTTTGGCTTTATGTAACTATATCTTTAAAATGTTCATATCTACTAGTTGTCAAACAATTAAACCTCAAGATATCGCAGGTAGCAAAGACTTATACTACATTTGAAGATACTGTCAATAACAATTCGAATATAAATTTGTATAATCGTCACTGACATTTCCAAGTACCACCACGTACAGGTACCTGTTAATATATGTAAATAGTAAATACCTCTGTAGGAAAAATAAAAGGCTCTGAATGCTATAAACGTGAAATAATTAGGACAAACTTACATGAGCTGAAAAGCTCATTCGTTAATTTCCCCGGAACTTCTCGTGTTTTCAATATAGCTAAGATGAATGCTAATTACTTGTGCTTGCCTGATCAACTCAATCAATAAAGTGATTTAATTTGTATCTATCGTGAACATGTTCATAACATAAAAATTACTCCAAACCGTTATTTTAACACCTCGACACGTGTTCCAATCACCAAGTGATCATTTTCAATAGGAAGATTGAACCGTTTAATTTTCCTCTTGAAGATCAAACTTTTTGATCTTTCACTTGAAGATGATGATCTGGTGATCGAAACACGTGTCGAGGTGTTTAAATATAGGGTTGGTGTTAGAAAAACTCTAGTTATTACTACACTAAAGGTTCCAAACAGTGCATCACAAATTCTCATTACATATCAAAATACTGTGGAAAGTCAATTTGAATGATTAATTAATATGTATTCAACCTATTGAACAAATAATCAATTTGCTATGGGCACTCGTTACGTCACAGCAAATAAAATAATGAGAATTGTTTCAACAAAAATAGTTATGAAAAAACTTGACGAATATATATAAAAAATTATACTGACCTAGTGCAATGACCATCAACCGCAATACTTGAACCAGGAATATCTTATACAGTAGTTCTTCATGTAATATACTGGGAGTTATGAGATTATGAAAATAATTTTTGATTTCTGCTGTGGACAGTCCAATTTTCAAAATCTCGTCGATGACAAAAAACAGCGGTATCCTCAACATTACTACTTCAAGTTCACTAATTCTTCTTTGGAAAGCCATTTTCTCTTGATTAACATATATGTACCTTCGATGAAGTTTCTCTAAAGAATGAATGTTACATTTGCCGAATGTGAATAATATAAATCTCCAATGAGAATACTGAAATGTTGACAACTCAGTATTACCACTATTGAGGATTACAAAAAGAAAAACTAAGAAGAAGAAAACATTTCATTTATTCGAATGTGGTTCATTCATTCGAATACGGTTGATAATGTTATCTTTGAGAAGGAAAACGAACAAGTGAATGAAATATTGAATATTAAATGGTGAATAAGTATATGAATGCTAATGAAATGAATTATTAAATGTGCGGAACAAAAAGTGAAAAATCAATAATGTACAAATTTTATATAAATTACAGGAAAATGATGATAATACAATAATGATAATTTCCTCATTCTTACATTCTAACATATCACAAATGTTGAACATATATTTTGACTGAAGACAGAATACAATACTTAATAAATAATGCATAGGATAATATGAAACGTACATGGTAAATGTATGGCTGTACGTACAGATAACTGTTATTATGCCAAAAGCAGGTCCATGAAAAAATTTATCTTTTTTCATCATTGAGGCGCAAAATTGATGACCTCAAGTACTTGAATCATTTGAGAAAACAAAAAACTCCGAAATTTGTAACACTGCATATAAAATTATTAGGGAAACTGTTAAAAATGAGATACGTCAGGAAAAAATTAATCATTTTTATGAAAAAAGTTAATGAATCAAGCAATGAAAGTAAAACACTTTGAAAAATTATCAAACAGCCCTCTGAAATTAATGAAACCAAAAGTATTTCTATAAATTATAATGATAATTTAATCAGTGATGAATTCGCGAAAACGTTCGGAGAATATTTCTAAAGTGTTGTAGATGAAAAAACTGAAATCAATTTCAAAGGAAGCCATCTAGGGAACGGAACTACAATGCCAAACGTCAACACAACAATGTTTTTCTTACCAGCCACAGGGGTAGACTTAAAAAATTTTGTGGAATCGCTACCAATGAAAAAAATAAATTATATTATGAGGTTTTTATAGAACTCGTTAAAAAATGTATTGATATTATATCTGAACCAACTGCGCACCTAATACATTTATGTATTTCTTTTGGAGGCTACCCCGATTTTCTCAAAATCGCACTAATGAATCCGGTGACGATTGCACTAACATCAAGAAATATCGCCCCATATCGATTATCAGCGTTTTCTCTAAAATCTATGAAAAGATTCTATCGTGCAGAATAAATGACTACCTGGAAACATTCGGCTTGATAACCAAGTGCCAACATGGCTTTCGAAAACGTCATTTAACGAAAACAGCAGCACTCAAATTGGTTCAACAAGTCCATGATTCAATCAATGAGAAAAAAGTAGTTGTGGGACTTCTATTCGACTTGAGTAGAGCTTTCGATATTGAAAAAGTATTGAAATAATTTCTGAAAAACTCTTCAACATTGGTATCAGATGCAATGTTAATTGGCTCATTGTGTCTTCCTTGAATAACAGATATTTTAGGGTGAAACAAAACCATATATTATCTGACGAGTATTCTGTTACAACTGAAACACCACAGGGTAGTTTTCTTGGTCCGTTGATATTTTTACTCTATGTCAATGATCTTTCTGATAACATAAGTTATGGTAACGTGTACCTTTATGCAGATGATACGTCTAACATTTTATCGAGCAAAACACCGGATGAAATGAATACCCAAATCAACACTGTATTGCAAGAATTCAATGAGTGGTGTTTCAAAAACAAACTAATCGTTAATGTACATAACACAGTTTGTATTGAATTTGTATATTCTCCTCGGGGTCTACATAACTTCACTTACAATTTTCTTAATGAATCTCTGAGATCATCAACCTGCACAAAGTTTTTAGGAATAATGAATGATTCCTTTTTCACATGACGATAACACATAGAGTTTACATCTGAGAAACTGAACCAATCGTATTACCTAATAAAATCACTAAAAAGTAAATTAAATACTAAATTTCTACTAACAGTATACTACGCAAAATTTCACTCCGTAATATGTTGTAACATTGCTGTCTGGGGGTTAGCCACTGAAATTGGCAGAATATTCGTGAAACAAAAGGCACTGTTGAGGTTAATTTTCAACCTTGATTACAGAACATCGTGTATAGGGAGATATTTCAAGAGAATAAAATATTAACTGTGCCAGCATATTCATTTTAAAACTCTTGACAAACATTCATGAGAATATGAGACACCTTGTCGATCGGAAGTACATAATTATAATACCAGGAAAAACAATATGCTCACAACTCGAAAACATATCTTTACAAAATATGAAGTCTCCTGTGTTTGTTGAAACGAGTATTTATAATAAATTGCCAAATAGTATAAAGACACTGCCACTAATTGCCTTTAAACAAAAACTTGAATCATTTCTATCGACAAATGGTTTCTATACAGTGGACGATTTTTACTTGAAGCTGTAAATATTTAATATTTTTAATATTTTTTACAATACTTTTTTCTTATTTTATCATGTACTGACAGGGGGTAAAATGATCCCCGGAATCAGAAGGATCATTTTGCCCCAAACTACCTTCCCGGCAAAATTGTTAAACCATAACCTTACATTCGCATCTAACGTGACACAAATGGCCTGATTTCGTTGAAGAATGGCACTAAACACTGATACAAACACTTCTGTCACAAAATATAAAATACTTTAAAACATACACAATATTGACATAAAACTACATTAGATTTCACACAGTAATTTTCAATGATTTGTTATTTTTTTCAACCACTTATACCGCCTTGACAGTTTGCGCTAAACTGCTTGGGTGGTCTCACGTCCATGAAATTCACATTAAGTCAACTAGATGCCGCTGTTCTGTCGATATAACGGTCGGTGGTACATAATGATCCCCAAGGGATCATTATGTACCACCCTGCCCTACATTCAATACTACACAAATACAGTGCTTGATGTCCCCCACCCCTTTTATTTTTTGAACGGGTCAACACAAAAAGTTGAAATTTGGGATAATAAAATTAATACATGAATACTTTATTTTGGAGTGAAATTGACAGATAAAACTTTCAAGATGGCGACTGATCCCCATCTGGGGAAAAATTCAATGGATAGGGGATTTTGTGACACATCTTTTTGAAGCTCCTGACAAATGCTCCACAACCCTAGAATAGAATGTCAATATCTTCTTCCAACTACTACAAAATGGCTGAATTTTTGGCAATTGCCTGAATACATTGACATTTAACTGCATATTATGAGGTTATAAGCTTGAGGTCAGTTCATAAGATGCTCAAAATGGTAACCTTGAACTTCTTGACATATGAACATGAACAGCCTATCCGATATTTCAAGCCGAACATTTTCGAACACAGTAAGGTCAATATCTCTAAAAATATGTATTATTCTCTGCCGTATATCCACTATTCAAGCAGGTTCAGTTTTCGTACACCTTTTGCTTCAAATATCTCCATAAAAAAGTCCAAAGGTGTCAAATCAGGCGAGCGGGCTGACCATTCTGCAGGACCTCAACGGCCAATCCAACGACCGGGAAAAGTAGTATCCAAATAGTGTCTTACTTGTCTCGATGAGTAATGTGGTGGTGCTACATCTTGTTGGATTACAATATTCATATCTAATTCATTAGGATTCGCTTAGACGATTTCATTGATGAAAGGGTCAACATTAGTTTCCAGCATATTCAAATACAGTTAGTTCCCCTATAAAATTTTGATCAATAAATAAAGGTCCTACAATATGGTTTCTCAATATTCCTGTCCAAACGTTTTTGTTTTCTGGATATTGGGTATGTGTTTTCCGTAAAACGTAACGGTTGGTGTCACTCCAATGACGGCTATTTTGTCTGTGAACATTGCCTTTTTGAAAAAATATACATTCGTCACAAAAAAAATATTGTGGAGATAGGTAGCATGCCTTGCAATGGTTTCCGTCATGATTTTGCAGAATTCTGTTCTTCGATCAGTGTCATCTTCAGTTAATTGATTTTAATTTGGTATGAATGATACCTATTTCTCTTCAAAAGTCTCCACACAGTAGAAGGAGACATCTCACCAATTATTTGCACTTGCCGTTCTTCCGGAATGGACGGATGACCTGGGGACTTTTTATAATGTACACTACCGGTAGTTGTGAATTTGTATACAAGTTCCCTCAAATATTTTCTACATATAGGACGATTCGGAAATCGTTCATTGAAAATCCTTTCGGTCTCGTGAAAGTTAACCGTCGTACCGTAAATAAAAATCGCTTCAATGCTTTATTCCAATGGACGAGAATTGACCATTTTAGAGATTGTTGACTTGGTATCTTTCTACTAGTAACACCGAAAACCAAATGAGAATATTCTAACTAAACAATGATGTTCATTGTCGTACTGACATTTTTTGTCGTTTTTATAAACAAAAAAATAACTCAACAAACCTTATCGGGTTGTTGGAATTGCCATATGGCAGTTAAAAAAGAATATTTCTAGAAATACCGGTAATCATGTGTTTGTCTTCAGGAAATTATTAAATGTTCCCCCATGTTGTATTAAGTGAAGATATTGGCTTTATATTCTAGGGTTGTGAAGTATCAGTCAGGAGCTTCAAAATGATGTGTCACCCCCCTTTTTATTTAATTTTTTTTCCAGAGGGCGCCCAGTTGCCATCTTAAAAGTTTCATCTGTCAATCTCACTTGAAAATAAAGTATTCAGGCATTAATTTCATTATCCCAAATTTAAATTTTTTGAGTTGACCTGTTCAAATAATAAAAGGGTGGGGGACATTGAAGAAATGCACTGCATAATAGAGACAGCACTGTGAACAAAATTGATATACAATTAACGGAATCTTTTTGAACAGATGCGGCCTAACATTCTATCAGTGAGCACAGCAATATAAATATGGCCAACTGTAGTAATTATCTTGATGAGAATCTTGTTGGATGTCAATAATACCACAATGATTTTTTTCAGTTACTTGTTTTTTGTTAATAGTGTTTATTCTACTGAATTTTGAGTTAATTCCCGGCTGTAAATAAAAATATTTTAATTTTTTTAAATAATGATCGAGATATAATATTTTTTATTTCCTCTGGTATGATATTATAAATTTTTATGCCTATAAAGGAGTGAGCTCTTCGTGTGATTGACTTTTTCAGTATTATGTTAATTTTTCGCAGTGACGTGTAGAGTATGGGTTTTAACGAGTTTTTCCTCAGTTTGAACTGAAGTGGTATTTCACGTTTGTACTGAGAAAAAACAATTGTGGCACATCTAAGGTTCCACACTCATTATATAAACCCTCAGTTGAAAAACGTTGACTTTGTGATATTATTAGTTTGAGAAATCTTCTTTGTAATACTTCCAGGGATAGCAGCCATATAATTCAAGACAACCAAAGCAAGGCGTCTACAGGGTGAGTCAACAAGATTCTCTTGGTCCAAATCATTTTCTTCCATACTAGGTGATTCAGCCGAGCGAGGCCAACCAAAGTTATATTTTTTTTAATGAAACACCCAGTATATGAATACGTCATTCGATTCCATATTGTTTGAGCTCTGTAAGGAATTTTTGTTTTTTGAGTTTCTATTGCGGCATTGCCAAGTTACTCCAGAAAAACCTATTTTGCAAACAATAATTTTTTAATTTACCACCCGCATGTCTACAGCAATAAATGAATTTTTTTAGGCATATAGTTAATCAACATCACTATGATAATTTCGGGAATCTCAACTTTCGGAAACAATATATAGGGTGCTTGATAAAACCCGTCAAGAGTCCAAAAGATGTTCAAAATGGCGACTATTTTCTGCATCACATAAAATCAGTCGTTTTTTAAACGAATTCTCCACACGTTCCAGCATATCCTCTGGGATTTCCCTGAAAGATCTAGTGATTCTTCGTTTCATGTCTTCTATAGATGTTAGAGGAGTTTGGTAGACAATCCATATGATATACCCTCATGAAAAATCCATTTTGGTCAGGTCAGGTGATCTGGGTGGCCAAGTCAAAGGCCCACCCCAACCTATCCATTTTAATTGAAATGATCGTTGAGGTATTCCCGTACCTCAGTTTCAAAATGTGTTGGTGCACCATCTTGTTGTAGCCACATTCTAAATCTTGTTCCAGTTGGAACCCCGTCCAATGAATTCGAAAACTCATGCCAAAGAAATCTTACATATTTTCTTCCAGTGAGATTCCCATCTAAAAAATGTGGGCCGATAACTCTTTTTCCGAGAATTCCACCCCAAACATTTATTGACCAACACTTTGATGGTTCAGGCAACGAACAAAATGGAGATTTTTGGTTGCATAATAATGCATGTAATGCCGATTCACAGTTCCATTTTCATGGAAAGTTGCTTCATCAGAAAATAACACAAAATCGAAAAAATAATTTTCCTGATCTTTTCTAAGCCCCATCGGTAAAATTGAACACGGTTTTCAAAATATCTTCCTCTTAACTCTTGCATCAATTGCATGTAAAATTTGCTTGCTCGTATCATTTGAGACACGCTGATTTGAGAAAATCCTAATTGCCTGGTTTTCACAAGGGAATTTTCAACAAGGTGAAGAGCGATGTGAAATGTATTCTCTTCATTTGTTACAGGGCAAATACATTCGAACTTCTCGTGATTCACATTACCAGTGCTTTCAAATCCTATTTTTAGAGCCTGAAATGCCCTTCCATCTGGTTGTCTTCCTTCGGGAAACTTCTCTTTCCCCCAAAGGTTCTCTTTCCCCCCAATGGTTCAATCTTTAGGCGAAAGAAATTTCAACACATGGTGTTCCGAAATTCCTTTTTTGATGTTAGTCATGGATAACTAAATTTTAAAGAAAAAATCAGTATAAATATTCTTTAGCTTTTTACGCATTTCTACTGATAACTATCACTAAATGGCATGAAAAATGCCAATGTACTAGCGATTAGTTTGAATATTCGAAAAACAAATTCGAGTAAGTGAACGTAAGAAAATACATTTTTTGTGGTAACAACAATTACTAAAATTTGGTATAATTTGTAAAATATAAATTTTTGGTATAGTATACCTCCGATAAGAAATGTAGTGGAATGTTTTAACATTTCACACAAATGACAAAATACAGGGTGTTCCATTTGAAAATGTTGAATTATGTCTATTTGAAAATGAATGAAACTTGGCTGGTTTTACCGAGCACCCTACATATTGTTTCCGAAAGTTAAGATTCCAGAAATTATCAAAGTGATGTTGACTAACTATTTCTAAAAAATGCACTTATTGTTGTAGACATGCGGGTGGTGAATTGAAAAAATATTGTCTGCAAAATAGGTTTTCCTGGAATAGCTTTGGTTGGCCACGCTCGACTGGATCACCCAGTATTCGAAAAAATAATTTCAATAGGTAGTATTTATCGATTTGACTGCAAAAAATTGAGCAGTGAGGAAAATTTTTTCCTCTGATAGCAATCGACCGAGGGAATCTTGTTGACTCACCCTGTATATGCTCCGATAGGTTCGAACTATGCAAATATACAGATGACTCGTTCTGGTAAAGTTGTTGAATAAACAGATAGGTTAATGTTGTGACGTGAGATGTATAATTTTTTCAAATTATAATTGTTCTACTACTGATCTTCAGGCAACCAGTAGCACATGTTGCATTTTGCGAAGTAATCAATCAAGAAGAGTAAACGGCATAAAATGAATAGGCATATCGACAGTATTTTGCACTTGTAGTGGTTGGTCGTAGTTGTCAGAATTTTGTGAATATATTTAATGTGCTGTGCAATAAATAATCATAATTACGGAGGTTGTGTAGTTAGTCTCACAATAAACAACTAGTTATACAATCAGTCCTTGGTTGCATTTATTTGCGGCTTTATAAAAATCGCTAACAAACTTAAGTCAACTATTGTTTCCGAAAAATATTATGGTAGACTGTTTGTGACTAACAAGACGTAGTTAGCTCGTCAAAAAATATTGTAACAACGCACAATTAACAACTTGTATGATAATATTTCAAGAATAAAAAACCGCTTCAAGTTACAACATAGATATACGAACAGGTCATAGTCTAACCTAGCCTAATTGTCAAAAATAGTGAGGTGTATTATTGCGACACCACAGTTCACTGGGACAATACTACAAAAAGTAATATTTCATAAGAACTTTTGGCAAAGTGGACACCGGTTATCAACATCCAGCCATTTTCTTAGACAAACTCCATGAAAAAAGTGCCCGCATTCAGTTACTCTAGCATGTTGCATCTCATGATAACATATGGCACAAACATCACCCAACTGATCCAACTGCTGATTAGAAGCTTCTAACATGCCTTTTATTGATTGGATCATCCTTCGACGATTTATGAAATCGAACCAGCCTACTCTAGCCTTACACCATATATTGAGATATATGTAGAAACCTAACTTGATAGCCCTAATTACGTTGAAAAATTCAAAGAAGAGCGACCAAAGTCCATTAAATAAAAGTGATATTCCAACAAAAATTTCAAAAATATTTCCAAAAGCTCTTACAAAGTACGTGTAACTGTCAAAGTTTTCCCAAAAAGTTTGCTTTCTAATATAAATTATATTGAGAGTATATATAACTACAGACACACAAAACTTCATAATAACTTCGATGCAAAGCATAAAAGTCCCGAAGAGAAATATATTATTTTCTACAGTTTTGAAAATGAAATACATGATCAAAAAACTCACTGTTATCACAACTCCGCTCACCAATAAGATTTTTGAATGTTTTTTAAGAGATAGATTCTGAGAAGTAACCACATTCACTAATAAGGGATTCACTAACTGATGTATGAAATGAAGAAGAGATATAAAGAGGATCCACATATTTCTGCATATCATCACAAATCTTAACTCGGGTTCCAGGTGGGTTAAATCATTCTGAAGGGCTAAAGAGAAGAACATCATAAATGAGACAGATTCAAAATTTATGTAGCATTTTCTATCACTGAATAAAATCCACTTCAGAAATGTTCCAATGAACTGACAGATATAGGAAACTATGCTAGCCGTGCCCAGAATAGCTACAAAAGTTTCGCATCCTACCACAGATGAATATTTCAAAAGTCTAGAGAACTTTGAAATTCCATCTTTTCTATTCCACTGACCAGAGAAGAAGAAAAGTGCAACAAGAATTCGTAAGACCCAAAAAGTTCTCAATACATGAGAAATTTCCAATCTTGGAAATTTGGATCTCAGCATTCTAGTTCTGGAGCAATCTATTATAAATTTTCGAGTTCCAGGAACAAGATATACAACATAATTCACCAGTGGTAAATGAAGCAGGGTCACCAAAATTGGAGCGTGATTCAGTAAAAATGTCTCTGTCGAAAAAGCTAAGCCCAATGGTATGAGGAAAGTTAAACGAAGCAGTTTTCCCAAAATGAGGTTCTTTGGTGTGGAGTACACGTTCATGATTAAAATTGGTTTCAGAGCCTGCTGCATGTAGGTATACTTACACCAAGAAATATATAACTTTTGTGTAAATAATTTCTCGAAGTTGAGAGCAAGGATATTATGCAGCAGGTGAATAGTTTCATTTTTGCAACATCCAATATTCGGCTTTGGATTAACGATCTCAAAAATCCAACTAAAAAGGACGCCGACACTCAAAACCGCGTAAGCACTGATCAAATGTTTGGAGCTTGTGGTCAACATAAATCCTGTTGCTAGGCACACTGAAAAAAAAGTAAAAAGTGAGTTATCAAATTGTTCATGATTTTAAATGAATTTTGATGTGATTAGATCCACTGAATGTATATTTCATGGCATATTTTAAGCGAAAATATGAAACGAATCCTACGAATTTCTTATCTCTAAAATCCCGTATCCACTAATAGTCTAATACGTTACGAATCTATATGTTTGAGAAACGTACACTTTTCCGACAAACTTATGAAATGAAAATATGAAAATTATACTGACCTATGGCAAGTATCTCCAACCTAAATAGGTATACAAGGAGCATCCTATACCAAAGAGGTTCGTATATGTTGTGTGTCATGATCTGACCAACATCATTTTTGAGCTCTGGGTAATTCACTTGAATTTTGAAAATTTGGTCAATGAAAAACAACATCAGTGCTCTCAACAGCATGGGTCCTAAGGTATCAACTTTTCCAAGAAATGACATTTTATCTGTAATGATGAAATATATTGGTCTTAGTGATGTATCAACGACTTCAATATTAGACTTATTGAATATGGATTATGTAGTAATAAGGTGAAGAGAAAGTCATAAATACCAACATTGAAAATGTAATAGCTCAGTATTGTCACTATACTGAATTCTGAAATTAAGAAAAATTTGAGTTCTAATACGCTAGAGATTAGTAACTTAAATAGACTTAGCAAAGCAATATCCGGTACACAGTGTATTGAAGTCGCTTGATACGAGAACAAGGCGCGTTAGACTGTCACTTCCCCTCCACCACGCACAATTAAACATATAGTAAATAATAAATTTATTAAGTCATGTTTGAAAATCATCAGTATTATAATTAGATTGACTGGTGCATCAGCTATACTTGTTTTCTTATAACAGTCAGTTAGTTTGGCGCATGTTTGGCAATATAGTTGATCATCACCTGTTAAAAGTTCCATTTTCAGATGATTTCACAAAAAGCTATGCAAGGACTGGTTATTAGTCATATTAGGAAATGCTAGTTGAAGTTTCAGAAATTCACATACATTTTTGCTACTTCTTGAACATTTACTACAAAGTAAACAAGTGAGGATTTTTCCGCAAAAGATATACAAACACAAGACGAGATAGACTGTACGGAATCATTCAATCCAGAGCGATCAGGAGTATTTATTCTGCTATTGTTTTGCTCACGAAGAGTATTCAACAAGAACCCCAAGAATTCGAAACAATTCTCTTGTTGTCCTAACGAGTATCTAGTAGACTTCAAAGACTCCAGGAAATCGGTTGAAGGAAAAGATGATACATTCTTATGAAATTGCAGTTGCATGAACAGGTGTTTGAGTTTGGTGAATAAGTAGGAAACATTCTCGTTCTCGTTCATCATTAAAATCTCGTTTTTGAAATTCTTTGTTATGAACAACACTTGTAAAATGCTATTTATGTAGCAAGTGTTTCCTGAATTATCTAGTCCAATTTTCTTCTCAAAATTTTCGGGACAAGTCTCTACTGATTCTTAAGGAAGAACATGTTTCACAGAATCTGCATAAAAACCATTTCTCAACCTGCAATCGACCTCTACGGAACCCTCCAAGTGATGGAGGGTTTCGTAGAGGTCGGCTCTTGTTTCATGAAGCTCTTCAACTGAAAGAGAATCAGAACCACGAGGACTGCGACTCATACTTGGGGGGCAAGAATAACCTAAGTCCATTGACCGCACTGAAAAAGAAGAAGGTGGATCAATCACTTGCAAATCAACCTTGAGAGAAGACTGATGAATATGCACGTATCTCGACTTGTTTCGAAGGGATTTTAGTTCCGTACGGAAATGAGAGCAATGCATGATCTCATCAAAATTACGTGAAGGAGGAATAGTTCCAAGGACCGAAGCAGCATTGCATTGCAACGTTGAATAGCAATACTAATTCTTTCTATCAAAAAAGAGGTAGAACGGTGATCTTTCGTTGCTTGGCCTATTCTCCTTCCGAGTTCATGAAAGAATAACAGAGACTCCGGGCCATAATTCAACCTCTGACGGAAGCACCAAACTCTTACGAAGGTTCGAAATGGATGAACATTTTAATCTAGCAGACCACTATTATAATCTTCATGCAGTCATTTTTCACTGTGGTTCTGGCGTTGAATCTGGTCATTATTATGCCTTGGTCAAAGACACGATACTCGTGTCACTAAAAGACACGACTATCGTGTCACTTAGTTACACGACAATGGCGCTCCAGGGCGACAATGAAGTCGCCTCAGAGCGCCAATTAATTTTTGTAGTTATTTTATAATTTCATGATTTGTATTTTCGAAATAAAACTGATAATTTTTATTATTATTCAATTGTTAATTTTTTCAATCACACTATTTATGTGTTCATTGTATAATGGCAAGTCCGTAAAAGGGCTATATGTGTGCTCTCCCCTACGCTGTACTCACTTTACACCAGTGACCTTCCGAGGTCTGAGCGTGTGAAGATATCCCTGTACGCTGATGACACGGCCCTCCTCTCATTTTCCATGGGTCGGGAGCTCGGTGTCGTCTACATGCAGCGTGCATTGGACGACCTCGAGCGCTGGTACCTCAAATGGAAGATCCGAGTGAACCCGGACAAGACCCAGGCGATAACCATGGGAAGAACGATATCTTCTCCGGTGAATGTTTTTATTATAATACATATAAAATATGAACACTCGGCATTGTGAGATAAAAACAGTACGAAAGAGTAATAATAGTCACATAAACAATAAGATTAGGCTCTAGGTGCTTGCTTCTGGAAGATACGCCTTTTTTTTGCTTTTTGAAAGATGATATTGAGTACGTTGAATTTTCGGGTCGATTCTAAATTTTTTCAGTTCGTACTGAAACCTCTGGGGTAAAATGAATCTATTGAAAACACTTTCCCAACACCAGAACAAGGATTACTGTCTTTCGACGCGCGTTTTGCTAACCAAGCTAGATTCCTCAAGGGATTATTATTTTTTCATTTTTTCATTAGTTGATTAATTAGAAAACAAAAATTTAGGGAGTATCTTCTTAATGCCTCGACCTTTCGGAAAGAAGAAGATTGAAAATTCGTAGTGCTTCTAAATGAACCCAAATACATTAATGGGTTGGTCCGAACATTCAAAAAATTAAATGTAAAAGTATCTTTCAAAACTGCACGTACACTTCAACAAGTGTTGGGCAGTCCGAAAGACAAGAGGAAATATGTTGGTCAAACCAAACGGACTATATTAGCTCGCTTCAAGGAACATGTTTCGCATATTCGGTTTCATAGACCGGATAAATCTAGTGTCGTTCAAAATGCCTTACAGAACGACTACAGAATAAATGAGAAATGTTTAAAATTGTAGAGACCGGTACATGAAAACAGGTTTCTGGATGCCTTCGAAAGCTTGGAAATCGTGGAAAGTGTGAAATGAGTTAATGGGTTGGTCCGAACATTAAAAAAATTGAATGTAAGAGTGGCTTTCAAAACTGCACGTACACTGCAACAAGTGTTGGGCAGTCCAAAAGACAAGAGGAAATATGTTGGTCAAACCAAACAGACTGTATTAACTCGCTTCAAGGAACATGTTTCGCATATTCGGTTTCATAGACCGGATAAATCTAGTGTCGCTCAAAATGCCTTACAGAACGACCACAGAATAAATGAGAAATGTTTGAAATTGTAGAGACCGGAACATGAAAACAGGTTTCTGTATGCCTTTGAAAGCTTGGAAATCGAAAAGTGAAATGAGTTCTATTAATAGCCACAACAGCCCTTTGTTGGTCTTTACGTAACACTTATAAATAAAAAACAGATAAATATTAAAGGAAAAATGTAGGGGATAGTTACTAACAGGGATCTTATACGAAATAATTCCAAATAAAAAACAGATAAATATTAGAGGATAGTTACTAAAGTTCATGAAAAGTTTAGCAAATATATTAATGATAATAATTTACTAATAAACTATCAATCACATTATAGATCAACTCATTCTTGTGACTGCTTTGCAACTGACATAACAAAGTGGAAGACTTTGATAAACGGAAATAAATTTATAGTTGCAGTGTTCTTGGACTCTAAAGTAGCTTTCGAAACAATTGATATTGATATCCTGTTGACCCTCTTCGGGAAGCCAATATGTGGCCTACAGACGGAATCGCCAGACTCCTGGTCAGTGGCAGAAATAAGTAGGGTGGGGGGAACTGAAACTCCCCAAAAGCCTTTGCAAAACATGCCACCGTGGTCCAGACCACCCAAGCTAAGGTGTAAGGAATCGTGCCGACAGCTGAATGGCCGCAGGGTGATATGCGGTTATGAACGATCCCCTTGGGAAACCAGGCGAAACCTCACTGTGATCAGCCTTCCTCTGGTAATGCAGGGCTAAGACACAACAAAAACCAATCCCGTGGCTGGACAGAAGTGTTCACCTCAATCTATGGCGGTGGCTAGGGATGAACAGAAATGTCCACCCAAATCTGCCGCTCGGAATGAGGCTGGACATAGCAGATCACCTCGTGATGTGATACAAAGGCGGCGCATTTGCGTCACCGAGACCAAAAGGAGGAAGAGTGCGAAAGAGGAAGGAGTGGCAGCAACTAGTAGTGCACCCTCCTCCTCCCCCACTCCACCTTCAACAGCAAGGGCACTTCCTGCAGCGGGCGCCAAGATGTCCGCCTTGAATAAAGGCAAGGAACGGGCGGTTCCTGCAGGAAAGTGCCCTCACTTGAACACCTCCACTAGGGAACACCAGGAAGATTGTAGAAGCTGCGCTTCGATAGTAATGGCGCTACACCTTCCAAAACCTTCGCGGAGGCCGCCGTGAGATACCTCAAGGTTGCCAAAGAGAGTGTGTTCGGTGAGTCTTGGCCTACACCTGTCGATATAAAGAAAATGTTTCCTAGTGACCTGTCCACCTTCCTGGAAAGGATGGACGATGACCTAGGAGGACAACTCCTTGAGAGGATGTACAATGGGTTATATGTGACCAAAGTGCTGTGGGTATACACTCACCCTCCTTACTATACCGGGTGTCCCACATTTTATGTGACAGGCAATATCTGGTTTGTTGAAGGAGATACACAAAAATGTTTGATATGATAGTTTTAGGAGTTCATGAGAGCTATATTTTGATATAATTTTTAAATATACAGGGTGTTTGGTGTAGGTGCTACAGACCAGAATTCCATTTTTTAAAATAGAATTACACCAAACACTCTGTATATTTAAAAATTATATCAAAATATAGCTCTCATGAACTCCTAAAACTTTTGTATGAAACATTTTTGTGTATCTCCTTAAAAAAACCAGATATTGCCTGTCACATAAAATGTGGGACACCCAGTATACATACATACCTGAAAGGACGTTCTCAAATAACCAACGTGAATGATGTAATCTCCAGTAAAAAAATATAACCACCGGCGATCCCCAGGGTATTGTCCTAGGACATTCCTTATGCATTCCGTATTTGAATGATATCAATTTTGTTCAAGACTA